CTATATACACAATAGAATATTATTCAGTATTTAAAAAGAATAAAATTATGGCATTTTCAGGTAAATGGATGGAGTTAGAGAATATCATGCTAAGCAAAGTAAGCCAATCCCCAAAAAATCAAAGGCCGAATGTTTTCTCTGATAATTGGATGCTGATCCATAATGGAGTGTGCCAGGGGAAAAATGGAGGAACTTTGGATTGGGCATTATTTGTCATTATTATTTGTCTCCCCCTAAAAAGTGAGTTTCTTTTTTTTTTTTAATTTTTTATTGTTGGTTGTTCAAAACATTACAAATTTCTTGACATATCATATTCCACACTAAAAAGTGAGTTTCTAGAAGCCTTCAGAGATACTATAAGTCCACAGGGTAGAAACTCTACTACCTCAGATCCATACTGTTAGGTAGGTAGACACAGAAATGACAAGGAAAAAACAAGGGAATAAATTGCCTCAAGCAAACCAAGATACTCCAATAACAGAATCCATTGGTACCACAGTGGAAGAAATGTCAGAGAAGGAGTTTAGAAAGTACAGAGTTAAACTGATCTGTGAAGTAAGGGATGATGTAAGAGAGCAAATACAGGTAGCAAAAATCACTTCAAAAAAGTGATGGGGAAAAAAACAGAAATTTTCAAAATGAAGTAAATAATAAACCAAATTAAAAATTTCATAGAAAACATTACCAAAAGAATAGGCCACTTGGAAGACAGAACCTAAGGCAATGAAGACAAAAATCTATAATCTTGAAAATAGACATGGAGAGAAGACATTAAGAAACCTTGAACAGAACTTCTGAGAATTATTCAATAACATGAAAAGACTAAATTTAATATTTATTGGGATAGGGGGCTGGGACTGTGGCTCAGTGGCAGAGTGCTTGCCTTGCATGTATGAGGTACTGGGTTTGATCCTCAGCACCACATAAAAATAAATAAATAAAGGTATTGTGTCTATCTACAACTAAAAAAAATGTAATGTTTATTGGGATCGGTGAAATAATGGAGATTTACATGAAAGGAATGCACAATTTTTTCAATGAAATTATATCAGAAAATTTCCCAAAGCTGAAGAATGAAATGGAAAATCAAATACAAGAGGCTTACAGGACTCCAAATGTGCAAAAACAACAAACTCACATCAAAGCACATTATAATAAAAATGCCTACCATACAGAATAAGGATAGAATTTTAAAGGCTGAAAAAAAAAATCTGATCACATACAAGGGGAAACCAATTCTGATCTCAGCTGATTTAGACCCTCAAAGCTAGGAGGTCCTGGAATAACATACACCATCTTCTGAAAGAAAATGAATGCCAACCAAGAATCCTATATTCAGCAAAATTAAGCTTCATATTTAAGATGAAATAAAAACCTTCCATTATAAACAAAAATTTTAATAATTTGCAACAAGATAGCCTGCACTTCAGAATATTCTCAACAAAATATCCCATGAAGATGAAATTTTTAAAAAAGTGAAAACCAGTGAAGGAAAAAACTACACTAAAGGAATAGTCAATCAAAGGAGAAACTAATTTAAATTAAAAACTAGATATAAACCAAAATGCCGAGGAACCCAAATCATACCTCAAAAATAACCTTAAACACTAATGGTCTAAACTCTTCAGTCAAAAGATGTAGACTGGGAGACTGGCTTAAAACAAGACCCAACATTATGCTGTCTCTTAAGAGACTCACCTCATAGGCATGGCACCCACAGACTCAAGGTGAAATAATGGGAAAAACCTATCACTCACATGGATCATGTAAACAAGCAGGGGTTTCTATCCTCTAAAATAGACCAAGTTATATAAGCTATATAATTGTATTAATTGCATTTATACAATTGTAATGTTACTTTAATATCTTTTTAGCAACTGTAAGGTTATTCTGATAGCTCACTTTCCATTGGTATTTTTTCTTACTTTTTTCTTGATTAAACTTGTTTGATTTTTATCAACTTTTAGCTGAAGTATTTTTTCTATTTCACATATTTCTTATTTTTTCCTTCCTACTACCTAATTTGATAATAACTTGATTGCTAATCTAGCTTCTTTTGATACAAATGCTTTGCTATAAGTGTGTATTTGAGCACTATTTTATTCCAGAGATTCTGATATTTTAAGTTTGTATTATCACTTAGTTCAAAGCAATTTTTATTATTTATCTTGTGCTTTCTTCTTTCAACTATCAGATATTTATAAGTGGCCATTCAGTTTTGAAATAAATCATGCAGGAAACACAGTCTGTATGATTTCAATTTTTTAAAATTTATCAAAGCTTATTTTATGACAGAATATAGTCTATCCTTATGAATTTTCTACTTGTCATTTGTGTGTATAGTTCTCTATAAATAATAAATAGGTCAAGATGGTTAATAATGTTTTAAGCCTTCTAAATCATTATTACTTCCATCAAAGTGAGGGGGCTTAAAATCTCCAAATATAATTGTGGATTTGTCTTTTTAGTTTTATTTTTACTTCACGTATTTTGAGATTTTTTATTAGGTACATACACATTTAGGATTGTTATACTTTCCTGAGGAATTTACACTATTGTGGTTATGAAATGTTCCCCTTTATCTCTGAAAATACTTTTTCTTGATATTTATTTTATATAGATAGCTCTACTTTAGATTTCTAATTCTTATTTTCTCCTCCTTTTGCTTTTAACCTATTGGTGTATTGGTATTTAAAGTGTAACATATGTATAAAGCATATACTTATTGTTTGTTACACATGTTGAATATTTATACATTTTAATTATAATATCTAAATCATTTGTATTTAAATTAATTATTGATATTGTTTAAAAAAAAAAGAACACCTAATATGAAGGTCAGAGGAAAATTGGGTAAATGATAGGTTTGATGATGTAATATTTTGAAAAAAAGGTTAAAAAGTCCTGCTGTCAGGCTCAGAGGGAAGATTGTTAAAATGCTTTTGTTGCAATTGTTCATTCTCTTATTTATCATATGGTACACAGCAACAGATTCATTTTATTGTTTGCTAACAGTTTTTATTTTGCAAATATAAATATATATATATACTTATAAATATATATAATCATAAGCAATCTCTTAGATATCACATTATGGTTTTAATGTGAAATTTTCTAATAATAAATAATGCTAGATATTTTTCATATACTTATGTACCATTTGATTATTCTCTTCAATGAAATGCCTGTATATATGTTTTGTTAATTTTTAATTGCATATTTTCTTATTTTTGAGTTTTCAAATCTATTTATATTTTATAAAAAGTAAGTGTATTAAAATGCTTTTTTTCTCATAGTCTATGGATTGCTACTTTATAAATGATTTCTTAACTAATAAATGTTTTTAAAAAATAATATATGGATTGTTAATTCTCAACAACTAGACTTCAGACTGAAGACAGATTGAAGATTTCTGTTTATGTCATTTACTAGTTATGGCTTTGTATTACTGTTTGATTCTATTTCTACAAAAACTCATTATTTAACATGAGAGCCTATTAAGATCTTACCTTTTTTGGGGGGGGGGGGGCGGATGTTTCAAGAATTTCGTTTTAGAAAGCAAAGGGCAATGACTGCAGTGTGGCAAGGCCAGAGGATGGGTGCTTTGGTAATATAGGAAAAGATTCAAAGAGAGAATCAGATAGAGAAACAGGACAAGGAGGCTAGTTTTCTTCTCACCCAGCGTCCACTGAGCCTCCCTTCAGTGCTTTTCACTTCTTCCCACCTCTGGAGTTTGCATATCTCATTTCTAACTAGTGAGCAGGAGAGAGGAATGGCTTCACTTTCACAATCCCAGCAGTGGATTCCAGACAGACCACTCCTTGCCATGTTGGTGAGGGACCAAAGATTGAGTTCCTAACACTGTCAAAAGAGTCTTCACTCTTCTTCAAGGACTATGTGCAGACACTATTACAAGGTATAACATAGCCCTGAGTCAAAAGGATACCACAATTACAACTGCTGGAATGAGCTTCATGGACCCAAGCAAATGAAAGTATGGCCATGATAGATATTTTTATTAGGATTGGGTGATCTCCTATCTTGTCACCTGATCCTACTCAATATTGTCCAGCAGAGCTTCCTTATGGGACTTAAGATTTTCAAATGAGTTGCTTTTAGTGACTTGCCTCTTCTTCCTCAAGAGATTTCAAGGTAAACAAAATCAGTGGTAGTGTACACTTTACTTCCCTCTAGATCTTCAAACATTAGCTGAATGATAAAGATTCAAAGTGGAGTTTGAATCTCAAATCTTCCATCTCACATCTGTGTGATTTGAGGCAATTGATTTAATTGTTAGAGTGCCTCAAACAATTGGACTGAAATGTGGGTAAGGACCATCCTTTCGTGGAGTTATTGAGAACCAAGGCTTGTTGATGGCAGTGATGTATTGCCTGTGAGCAGTCGACTGAAACACAATTTCAGTAATACCAACTTCCTCCTCCTGTCTGTCTTCTCACAGCCTCACTGAAAACTCCCACAGTCCAACTCTCCCTCCTGTCTACAATAATAGTGATGAGATCTGAGGAAAGTAAACCCATAGTAGTCAGGAAACAAGGTTATGGTCACAGAGGCTGGAAGTAGGGAGTGTCTCTGTTGAGACTGCTCTCACGTGACTCTTGAGTTCTACTGCATCTGTGGAGTCAGGGATCAGGGAAAATGACAATTCAGGAATTGTGCAATATATAACAGTCTTGTTAATAAGTTCCTTCTCTGTGCTGACCTCACTTGTCAAGCCTTAAATTTATGACAGCTTATTTTTAATCTCAGGACTGTTCAAGTTCTCCTTCCAAAACTGACTAAGTTCTGGCAAGACAAATTTGGGTTTCACTTTTCAGTTCTTGGAAATACAGTGGATTCTGAAATCAGACTAGATCCACCCCCCTCCATGATTGGTCAGCAACACACAGAGGGGTGACAGAGAAGCCAAGTGAGTATAGAAACCCTGTTCAGCCACAACTTATCTGCTACTTTTCTCAGACTTAAGAAGTGGGAGATTTCACAAGAAGAGATTGGACTACAGCAGAAGACTGTTCCTGAGCCTTGAACAGCAGTGAGTTCTCAACCAGACACAGGATTTTCTGGTAATCCAACAAGGGCGTTCAGAGCTGATTTCTGACCCAATAGGTCTCTTTTCTCTAAGGAACTTTTGGTTATCAAGACATTTGGGAGCATGGGCTGGAGGGCTGGGAAGCTCCACTTAGGAGCTATGCAGCCATAATGGGAGGGTGGCAGGATGGGCTAATGGACAGTCCTAGCTAATCACTGAAGGTCAGATAAATCTAAACCAAATGTTTTGGATATTATTTACTTGATGAAATGGCTATTCATTTTTCTTGTGTCTGTCTCTAGCATCTCCCCCTAAAATGGTTGGAAATGTTCCCTAATCACAGTGTATTAGGGAACATCACTGTGTCTCTTCTATCCTATTCTTATTCTCTTGCCTCTAATTCAGCATTTTTCATTCCTTCCATTGAGCAGAGCTACACTGGAGCAGAGGCATACTTTGTATGCCACTTAACATTTATGACTGGGGAGTCTTTTATTTTTTAAATGGAAAGTAGGAATGCTAATGATCTCCTGTGATGAAAAGTAGGCAAGTCAGAATACATTGGGAAAATAATGTCATTGACACATGTATCCTTTTGTAACAATTGATAGTTCAAATCCCTGTCACTTCTGTTCATGGTTAGTATACAAGACATTTAAAACAAATTATGGAGTGTGTTATTAAATCAGGGAATTGGTAGTAGATGAGAGAGGAAAACTGAAAATGAGAAATCTGCTTAAAACAGCATATGCTCTCGGTTACCTTCTGAACATGCCTAGAGTGTTCTTGTCTCCTTTCTCAGTGAATCTGACTATAGCATTTTTTTCTGTGTCACTTGCAGGTTTTGCATCTCTACTATTCTATTCCCTTCTTCCCCATCTTTCTGGTCAACAGTCAGAATTATCTTGTCATTGGAAAGTAGGAAGTGGAAACTTCAAACCTCAGTTCTTGTGTGCCAATCAAAGAAAATCTAAAGACAGACACACACACACACAAAAAAAAAAAAAAAAAACATGCAAAAGAGAACTTTATTATGGGTGAAAGTAAGTGAAAGCAAAGTGTTGCTTAAGCAGAGAGCACTCTTAAGAGAGAGAGTGGGTTATCTCTGAGCAGAAAACAACAAAGGAGATAATACTATCTCCAAATTTATGACTGTTTGATGTGTTCCCAGGAGAGCTGGGGACCACATTCTGAACTCTCTGCCAGTCAGGTGTTCAACTTCTCCATGTCAGCATGGGAGTTTTTTGACCATAATTGGTCCTCTCCAGAACTATCATGGTGGGGCATTCTATTTAGCGGGACTTCATGTACAAGTCAATTCCATGTTAATGTGGGCACTGGGGTCAGTAGCTGGTCAGAAGTTACCTTAATGTAACTTCACTACTAAAGGACTCTCTTTCCCAGACAAATGGAGACACCTATAGTTATAATTCCTAGCTTCACATCAACATCAATAGACCCTGTCAAGAGTTAGTCCCATTAATTAAAGCACCATTGTAATGGGGGGTTAACCTGCAAGGCAGATATAATATTTCAGATCAAGTCAGCCTATGAACCTATATATAAAAATCATACACATAAACCCTCATACAATTTTGTTTTTAACCCTCCAAAATAATGGTTTTTTTTTTTTTTTGTGCAAATATCTAAATATTACACCATTGAAAGCAAAGAGTTCACTTCAAGGAAGATCAGAAAAATAGGCTCATGTTTATCCAGGGGCATTTCACCTTGCACATTTTTTAAAATATTTTTTTAGCTGTCAATGGACCTTTATTTTAAAGCCACCATTAGTCTTTTGGTGTGAGCCAGTTGTCACAAATATACTCATGTCTGTATTTTTCTTGGTAATGAGGACTGCAGTGTTCAATTATATGTGGTGCTGAAAATCGAACCCAGTGCATCATACATGGTGGGCAAGTGCTGTATCACTGAGCTATAACCCAACCCGCATATTACTTTAAAATAAACACACACACAACTTTTAAGTGTGGATATTGGAGCCCAAAATATTTACTAAAAATCATTTCTAATGACAAACAAGTTTTTCAAGGAAATAAATTGATTTGAAGTGTGGATACTGGAGCTCTAAAATCAAAAAACATTTCTATTAACAAACACAAGTCTTAAAAAGGTGAAAAAATAGCCAGAAAAAGCAGCTTCAAATGCAGGGAAGCAAAGTAAAACGGGGATGTGGGGACTCAAGTTTACTAATACTGAAACTTTCACCAGGCCAACTTGCATCTCTTTAGAATTTAGAACAACTCATTTGGAATTTTAAATAAATAAACTTAAATTAATTCACATCTTCTGGTCCAAGCAGAGTGCTGGAACCATGACTGCTTGCTGTTGGTCAAAGCCACCATTAATCTTTTGGTGTGAGCCAGTTGTCACAAAGATACTCTTGTCTGTATGTTTCTTGGTAATCAGGACTGCAGTGCTCTATTGGCTGATATTCTTGTAAGACTTCTTCATGAACCTTCTGATACTCCTTTAAATCTGGAGGATGGTGTCTCAATTGTATATTGTTTGGTAAAACTCCTAGCTGCCACCTCCATCTTGGCAAGCCGAGCCTGTTCTTGCTGTACTCAGCATTGAAGTTATCATTGTCATTCCACCATCGCTCACAGGAGATGATGGCAATATAGTTATCAAATAATCTGGGAGTTCGGTATTGAGGAAGGCTCCGTGGAGGCAGTGCAGCCTGCTCTAAGTCCCTCACTGGAATTCAGACTGGAGTTACTCAGCGTGGCAATTTCTTCTTCTCTTTGAACATCTTCCTCCTTCTCATAATCTCAACGTTGTGTTAATTTTTATTTGGTCTTTGTGGGTTTTTTTTTTTTTTTGACCTTTTTTTCCAGGAAGGCAAGAGGGTACTAGGGATTGAATTCAGGGGGACTCAAGCCACATCCCTAGCCCATTTTGTATTTTATTGAAAGACAGGATCTCACTGAGTAGTTTAGTGACTTGCTGTTGCTGGATCTTCCTTTAAATTTATGATCTTCCTACCTCAGCCTCCCAAGCCACTGGGATTACAGGCATGTGCCACTGTGCCCAGCTTTTTTTTTTTTTTAAGACTTCTTTCTAGACTTTTTGTGAGACATTGAATGGTTTCTTCCATATGCCGTGGACACTTTAGAGCTGAACCAGCAGGTAAGGTTTCCAGAGAAGTCCTAGAGGTATTTTGTCTTCCTGGGCCTCATATATACTACCATTTTCCACTAAAATTTTCAAAAGCTAGGTTTTGAGTCCCCCAGCCTCCTGGAGTCCTAGGAGAATTGGAGTTAGATTGTAAAGTCTGAGGAGGATTTGAGACAGGCATGCGAGTTGAGGCTGTGGCAGAGTGTTGGGGATGGCAGCAGCTAGACAGGGTAGTGGGAGGCCTGCAGCAGATTTGTCACCAGTGGGATTCAAATGACCATTTAGTGTTGGCTGTACTCTATATGTCAGATGAGATATCCGATCTCTTTTATTCATTAAAGTATCAATAAAATCTGAATCCAAAGGTCATCTTTGAGGAGAGGACATCTCTACTGGAAAACATGGGAGATACTGAACCACTGGGGCAAGCAGAATTCTGGGGTGGATTTAGTTTTCTAGAGAGCACAAAATCCAATGTCATCTGTTTGATTGTATCCTGGGCTGTCTTGCTGAAGCTCCTTAAACCCATAATCCTTTAAAGTACAGGAGAGGTCTTTTGGATTCAGATTGGCTACCTGTTGCAGAATTGCCTCCAGAGTCCTTGTCCTTTTCATTGACTCTCCTTTCTGCAGTGGATACAGCAGCTCAGATTTTTTTGAAGGACTTGAGTGGCAGTAAGTGAATCACCCTGTCCCTGTATGGCAACTAAGAAACACTGCTATAGTCTTTATTCTTGCTCTTTGGGGTTCATTCTTGCTCATTCTGTATGGATCTGAGCTAAATTCCTCAGTGCACTTGTTTTCATCCCCTTTGGCTTTTTGAAGCTTAGATACAGAGGTAGGAATAATGCCAACACTTCTTATAAGGACTGCTGTCTTTTGTAGTTGTGGTAAATTCTGTCTTCTTTCTCCCTTCTATCATCCCTTTGCTATCCGTATGCTATTTCATTAGACTCCAGTAGCCAGGGAGCATAGCACAGAGAAAGACTCCACCAACTGGAGGTAGGACAGGAAGACACAAGACTTTGCCTTGGGAACTCAGTTGAAGTGAAGCATGCTATTATCTAATCATCCATAGAAAAGTAAGAAAGCACTTAGTATTTATTCTCTGAAAATTCTGAGTTGTCTTGAAGCACACATAATGTTTAGCCACCTCTCATATGTAGAAAATAGAAATCTACAACAACTTAGGTTCTCAAGGGCAAGTTGAACAGAACTCATCAATTTCTGTTGATGAGGCTAGTAGTCCTCTTCACAATGTAATTGTCACCCCTCTATCAAACTCAGAAACAATAGGATAAGTACCATTTGATATGGCATGACACAATCAAATATATATTTGGGTTGTAGAACATTTATGCAGAATTTTCGGCTAATATATTTTCTTATCACTTGTTCAGATACATGGTATCTTTAGGGAGGAAAGGATTCACATACCCTTGCAGCACCTCACTTAAGAAAAAAATAAGACATGTGTGATGGTAATATGGAGAATTCATCAAATGAAGAAACTTTAAATGAAGAGAATTCCAGGAGAGAGGAATTTCAGAAAATTGGCCCAGGTGACCAATAAGGGATGGTGAGGCACCAGGAACCAGGAAGTATGAGAAGCCTTTACCAAACCTAGGGCAGGAGAAAGACAGGGAGAAATATATTTTCTTAAAAACCTTATGAGATTGAGACCAGTTGACAGAAGCCACTTAGCGGGGATTTTCTCAGTCAGTGGCAGATGCAGCTACTGTCAGAAATGCAGCCCAAGCAGGGAGATAGCAGGGAGGCCATGCCTTCACCTGTCTCTCATCCCACGCTCAGAAGCTTGCTGCTGCCTCTCAGTGGCTGAACTTGACTGGCAGCTAGAAGGTAAGAACGCTCTGCTGAGGCGGCTATCCACCTGGCACACAGGCGGAGGATGTTCAGATGGATCTGGAAAGAGCAATGGAGGATCAAACACAAAATTCACATTAGACATTCTCAGTTTGTTCTGCTGCCCACTTAAAAAAATGATTATCCTGGTCTCACTGATATGTGGAATCTCTAGTAATCAAACTCATAGAAGCACAGAATGGTTGCCACAGGCTGAGAGGAGGAGAAAATACAGTAGTGTTGGTCACAGGATACAAAGTTTCAGTTACACAACATGATCAAGTTCTGCAGACCTAATGTATCATACAATTATGATAATTAAAAATATTGTGCTGTCTACATGAAATTTGCTATGTGAATAGATCCTAACATTCTCTCTACATGACACATACATACACACACACACACACACACACACACACACACAACTTAGAGATGCTAGCTTTGTTAGATAAATAGACTGTGATTATCATTTCACAGTGTTCATATATCGAAACATTAATAGTGCATATACAGTTTTTATATGCTAGTGATATCTCAATAAAAAAGAGATGATCTCACATGGTAGAGAGTAGCAGCTTCTTGTTTGGGTTTTTCTACCACTATTCCCCAACAAGTGTTGCTTTTCAAAAAGGATTCTGTATAATTAAAATACTCTTAGAAAACAAAATGTTAAAAAGAAAACAAGGGAGCTAAACATGGGCTCAAATATGCTGAAATGTTTCATTCAGGAAATGGGTTTAACCACGGATGTGAAGGATGAAGAAGGCTCAGCTTATTGCAAGTTAATAATACTCTTGAAAGACAAGGACTCACCAACATGAGTTCCAAAGCCAAGAGAAATACCTAAAAAGCAAACCAATGGAACTTAAGAAGTACATCAACCAAATAAAATAGCTCACCTTTGTTGACATGTTGACTCAAACCAATATTGCAAAACAAAAACCTATGTGGCTTTGGAGGAAGTGGGATCTGATTAAGCAGTGAGGACAATTATGAAGTATTATTGATTGTTCGGTTTGGTCACTTTATGACACTTATGTTAATCAAAATCCCTGATAATTGTTAGAAACACACTGAATGATGTTGTCTTGAGCTGGCTTTGGAGTCCTGAATAGGATTAGATGAATTAGGATTGCCCATGTTTTGGCAATTGTTAAAGCTGGTTAAGACACATGCAGTTTTTTATGATGTCTTCCTTAACTTCGTTTCAGTTTAAACCTTTCCCTAATAAATTGTTTAAATAAGAAAGAGTAGACAGACATGAGAACTGAGGCATCTCAGGACATAACTCAGGCCATAAGGACACTGAGACTGCAGTGCTTTGGGTAAGATCAAAGTTCTAAGATATTCTCTAGCATAGTAACTCTTTTCTCTTTCTTTCAGTTACATCACTTGCTCACAGTCATGGGTCAATGGTTCTCTGGTACTTCTGATGATACTCATCACCAAGATTCAGCTTTCAGCTTCAATAAGTATTTTAAGAACTTCAAGATGGAAAACAAAATCATTTCTCAAAACACCATCAGTTTGATAGAGTCACACCTGCAAAAAGGGAACATTCAGGGAGCAGCCTCGGTAATCAATGTTGCGCTAAGAGAAATTGATAATGCCCCACTGGACCTCGCTGTGACAGGGGAGTCTGGAGCAGGGAAGTCCAGTTTCATCAATGCCCTGAGAGGGGTTGGACATGAGGGAAAAGATGCAGCTCCTGTTGGGGTGGTGGAGACGACCATGAAGAGAACTCCATACAAACACCCAAACTTTCCCAATGTGAAAATCTGGGACCTGCCTGGGATTGGATCCCCTAATTTCCAGCCAAAAGATTATCTGGAAAAAGTAAAATTTAGGGAGTATGACTTCTTCATCATTGTTTCTGCTACACGATTCAAGAAAAATGACCTAGACCTGGCCAAGGCAATCAAAATTATGAAGAAGAATTTCTACTTTGTAAGAACCAAGGTGGATTCTGATTTACAAAATGAAGAGATATCTAAGCCAACTACCTTTGACAGAGAAAAAGTCCTACAGCAGATCCGAGAGAACTGTGTGAGAAATCTGAAGAAGAATAACATTGATGAACCACAGGTATTCTTAATTTCCAACAACAATTTATCTGAGTATGATTTCCCAATCATGATGGACACCTTAATGAAGGATCTGCCTGCTCAAAAGCACCACCTTTTTATGCTTTCCTTGCCTAATGTTACCGAGGCAGCCATTGAAAGAAAGAGGGATGCTCAGCAGCAGTATATTTGGCTAGATGCCCTCAGGGGTGGAGTATCGGCCATCATGCCTTTGCAAATAATCATCAGTAAAAATAAAATGGAGAAGCTGCAGAAAATCTTAAACAACTATCAAGTCCTCTTTGGAGTCGATGAGCCATCCCTGAAAGCCTTGGCTAAACACTTGGGAGTGCCAGTAGAACAACTCAAGGATAGCATTAAATCTCCAACTTTGTTGGAAACTGAGAAGGAAGAAACAGTAGGGGAAATGTTTATGAGATATTTGAAGAATGTTTTAATCAATGGTGGAGGCCCCCTTGGTGCAGGTCTTTACTGTCAGGAAATCTATTACATGCAACTTCTTATGCTTGACACAGTAGCTGATGATGCTAAGGTTCTCCTTAAGGAAACATATTCAGGAAAACAGTTCAAACCCAAAAAACGCACAGGTTCTAATCACAATAGAACCTAATGATCAACACCAGAGCCATCTCCCTTCCACCTGTTATCCTGAAACAACCCAATCCACCACCCCCATGGGAATTCCTAGGGGACAAGGCCCATGGATCTAAATTCTAGCAAAATCCTGGTGTGTATCTCCCCACTGTCCCTATCCCCTTCTCCCCTTCCCCCCATCTTGCTGTCTCTCTGCCCTCCTCTCCCTGTCTCCCTTCCTCTCCCACACACACATTGTCAAGCTCCCTGTCACCTCTGCCATTCCTCTCTGTGTCCTGTCTGTTCTCCTGTCCTCTCTGGAGCATGGGAATAATCAGCTGTTTGTTTCACGGACTCAGTTTCCCATCCTCATCGTCTCACCTGACACACACACCTGAGATTTAGACTCCTTCGAGCCCTCATGAAGCCTGTGTTAAGAGAGTGACTACCATAGCTTTTGGCTCTCTCAACAGGGAGACCTCAACACCAAAGTAGAAAGAAACCCATAACCATACAAAACCCAACTCTAATAAATGGTTAATAGCCAATTCATATGAATCCTATTTAGACAGAATCTTTTTTTGAGAAGATAACTGAAGAAACTCCATGATTCTGAACTGGGAGGAATGGTGAACCCTATGAGACCTCTCTGGTTTGAGACTTTTGATGGTTATGATAGTGAGGAACTGCTGTAAGCTATATCTGATGCCAACAGTTGCTTAATAAATGCTTGGTGAGAAAAAGTATTTGCTGTTGGGATTTGATGTTTTCAATACATAATTGCTTCAGATGGATTGTTGTATTGTTTTGTTGTTGTTGTTTTGGTTTTTTTTTTTTTTTTTGCTTGGTTTGGTTTGGTTAGTTGGTTGGGTTTTTTTAATAAAAAATGATAATCTCCTTGCCCCTTCTGTAGCCTATCACTTGATATTCCTTAAGGTGAAATATAGTATCTGATTTTGAAAGACAAAAGGAGGCAAAAATGATTCACCCATAAGTGGCAGTGTCCATGCAGTTTGGATGGCTACAATAACACCTTAGACTGGGTGGATTAAACCACATAAATTTATTTCTCACACTTCTGGAAACTGGAAAACTAAGGTACCAGCATGGTAGTGTCCTTGGGTAAAGCATTCATCCCAGTCATGTTCTCACATGGCCTTCCTTGGTGATTGTATGCAAAGGGACTCATTTGTGTCCTCCTCTTTCTCTAAAGGCATCAGTGTCCTCATGAACTGCTTGACCATAATTACTACCTTCTAATATGATCCTATTGGTTGTTACATTATTAGTATGTGAATTGGGGGGAAATAAAGAAACAAGCAGTCCCTAAGAGCTGGATTGCGCAAGTTACACCTCTAGTTCAGTTGCTCTCTTATTAGAACCCAGGATACTCATTTACCAACATGAAACACTTCAAAATATTTTGAACACAAATTGAGATACTAGTTGCAGATCTGATATCCAAAATGCTTGGAACCAACAACATATTAGTCAGCTTTCCATCACTATAACCAAATACCTGAGAAAATTAACACAGAAGGAGAAAAGGTTTATTTAGCTCTTGGTTTTAGAGCTTCCTTTACATGACTGGGCAGACTCACTGCTTTTAGTTCTCTGGTGAGGATGCCAAATAGCCATGGTTGTGAGAATGTGGCTAAACACAGCACTCACCTTGTGGCCAGAAACAAAGAAGGAAAGAATAGGATCCCATAATCCCCTTTAAAGGCCCACCCCCAATTGACCAGAGTACTTCACACTCTGCCCCCCTCCTAAGGTTCTACCTCCTCAGCCACCCTGGGCATCAAGCCTTCAGCACAAGGGCCTTAAAGAATCATCCAACATGTAAACTATGACAAGGAGGGTTTCAGATGTCAGATGCTTTTCAAATTGTAGAATATTTGCATATATATAATGAGATATTTGGGGGGATGGACTTAAGGCTAAATGCACAATTCCCTTATGTTTCATGTCTACCTTATACACAAAGGCTGGAGATAATTTTATATGATATTTTTAGTGGACCTACCATTTGACTACATTCCATCACATGAGGTCACATGTTGGTAGCACCATGTCAGTGCTCATAAAGATTCAGATTACAGCATTTTGCATTTAGATTAGCAAAATAGATATGCTTAATCTCTATTTGAAATTAACAACAATGAATTAGCTGATTTTTCATTACTATAATGACATATCTGATGTTTAGCACATATAAAGAAATCAGATTTACTTATCTCAGTGTTGGAGGAAGAAAGCCCAAACTTTCTCTTTCAGGGGTCCCCTTGGCTGCCTCGTCTCTTGGCAGATGGCAACTTCCCTGTAGGGACAACAGCCAGGACCTGGAAGACCATCACCAAGGGCCCTGAAGGCTTGGTTATGCCAGAGTATCCCTGCAAGGTGTGCTAATAGCCACCATCTTGTTGCAGAGATAGGAGAGTGACTTGCACAGGGTCACCTCTTTCTCTCTTTTCTCCTATTAATGGCAGAAGCCCCTGTGAGAGTGAAAAATCTCATCACCAGAGGGAGCCAAAGAGTCTGAGGAGGGGCCAGACTTGTCCCTTTACAACAATCTTCTTGTAAGATCTGATTCATGAGTCCCCTGGGAACCACCTCAATCCCTTCCAAGGACAAACCTCAGTGACTCAAGGACATCACACCAGGCTCCCCCTCTTAACATCACTTAGATTGACTTCTAAGTTAATTCTTTCAAAACTCACACTTTTGTGAAAATATGGACATTCATATCGGAGTGATTATTCTATATGTTCGGTATCATCTACAGCACATACATTTTAGCTACTCAAATTCTATAAATATAAAAACATTAATTTTTTTTCCTGGTGTGGTCTCCTTTTTAAATAATCTGTTTAAATGCAAACTGACCCGCCAAACTGCTGACCCACACCAGAGCCCAGGCCCAGGCCCAAGACCCCCCTCCCCACTGACCCATGTGAGAGAACAGGCCAAGGACTGCCCCTACACAGAATGTAGGACCATGCTGTGGCTCCCCATTTACCAGTGCATGGCTCCCTTGGCTCACCTCCATCTTGGGACACTGCAGCCATTGCCACATAGCCCCACCACATAGTTGCCCCTACCTTGGGACAATAGACAGAGCCTGGAGGCAGCTTCCCACCACAGCACTGCCTCTCTGAACAGGCAGCCCAAAGCCATTGTAAGACTTGCCCTTTCAGCTCCATCTCTGAAAGTGTTTGCCTCCATCTTGGGACACCCCCACTGCCAACTGACTTACCTTCACTATACTGCCACCATCTTTAGTTGCTGTAATGTCCACCTTGGGACACTGACCAGGGACTGGAAGCCCAACACCAAGGTACTTACAGGTTTGACACTACCACTGCCACCAACTAGGAGCATGGCAACTTCCCTATAGGGACAACAGCCAGGACCTGGAATTCCATCACCAAGAGCCCTGAAGGCTTGGTTATGCCAGAGTATCCCTGCTAGGTGTGCTAACAGACACCATCTTGTTGCATAGATAGGAGGGAGCCTTGCACGGGGTTGCCTCTTTCTTTTCTCCTATTAATGGCCAACTTAATTTGATTCATCTTTCACTCTTCCTGTGATCTAATACCTTATATTCTCACCTTCTATCTCATAATCATCACAGCCTATACCCCCCTATTTCTTTCTTTGTCCACCAGTAGAACCTGTAGACCCCTTTGCAAACCTACTGTTTATATTGCAGATATTAATTGAACACATCATTTCTGTTTATTGTGACAAAACTGTAAACACCTAAACAGGAATTATTTGATTTAAAGCTGTACATCATTTGCATTGGGTGCTGTTAATATTGACCTCTCTCTTAAAGCTGAGACACCAGACACCTGCAGGGACACTATAAGATTATAGGATAAAAATTGTAGCACCTTGGATCTGCACTGCTAGAGAGGAAGACACATGAAAAGCAAGGGAAGAACGTGCCCCAAACAAACCCAGATGATACAATAATAGAATCCATTGACAGCACAGTAGATGAAATGTTAGAGAAGGAGTTCAGAATGCTCATAATTGAAATGATCGATCTGCAATCAAACAATGACATAAGAGAGCAAATACAGGTAACAAAAGATTACTTTAAGAAAGAGATAGAGATTCTGAAAAAAAAAAAAAAACTAAACAGAAATCCTTGAAATGAAGGAAACAATAAACCAAATAAAAAATTTAATAGAAAGCATCACCAACAGACTAGACCACTTGGAAGACAGAACCTCAGACAATGAAGACAAAATATATAGTGTTGAAAATAAAGTTGACCACACAGTGAATATGGTAAGAAACCATGAACAGAACCTCCAAGAATTATGGGATAATATCAAAAGACCAAATCTAAGATTTATCAGGATAGAGGAAGGCACAGAGATACAAACCAAAAGAATGCACAATTTCTTTAATGAAATAATATCAGAAATTTTTCCAAACCTGAAGAATGAATTGGAAAATCAAATACAAGAGGCTTATAGGACACCAAACACACAAAATTTACTGCCAGGTGGCTCACGACTAAAACACTCAGAGGTCCCTCCAGGGGAACTGGGCTAACTGGGCTGCGCAAAATAACCACACAAAAGACAGAAATACCTTTTTCTTTGGGGTTGCTGTGGCGGCTCCTATGACCTTAAGGGTCCACAAGAAGAGAGAGAGAGAGCATGTGCTAACCCCTTTTATTAAGGAGAAGCTATTCAAATGACGCAAGGGGTCAGGTTTCAGGGGGCTGAGTCTAGCTTCATGATGTCCACTGTCAGCACATTGACTGACATCTAGGTAGGCCACACCCAAGGGCACAGTAAGACAAGGAGACACACAAAAGGTGTTTCCATGGAACATTCTATCCCAAACAGAGCAAGGGGTAATATTACAAAGAAACAGTTGAGCATAGTTCCACCCATGGGGATGTAGAAAGGCACACCCATGCATGAAGACACAGTTACTGGAACCCTAGAAAAGTGTGGCTGTCTAGCAACATGACTGCCGCCTGATGCCTCATCACTTAGCAGGGGAGTTAACTCAGTCATGTGCAAGGTTGGTCTCCCACATTACACTAAAGGAAAAACCAAGTCAAGTCAAAAACCAAAAACAAACCAAAATGACCGGGAATACAAACCATATTTCAATAATAACTCTGAATATTAATGGCCTAAACTCATCAATTAAAAGACATAGACTGGAAGATTGGATTTTTTAAAAAAAAAAGAACCAACAATATGCTGCCTACAAGAGACTCATTAGAAAACAAATGCCAAATGTCTTCTTTGATATAAGGAGAGTAACTAAGAACAGAGTAGGGACGAAGAGCATGAGAAGAAGATTAACATTAAACAGGGATGAGAGGTGGGAGGGAAAGGGAGAGAGAAGGGAAATTGCATGGAAATGGAAGGAGACCCTCAGGGTTATACAAAATTACATACAAGAGGAAGTGAGGGGAAAGGGAAAAATAATACAAGGGGGAGAAATGAATGACAGTAGAGGGGGTAGAGAGAGAAGAGGGGAGGGGAGGGGAGGGGAGGGGGGATAGTAGAGGATAGGAAAGGCAGCAGAATACAACAGACACTAGTATGGCAACATGTAAATCAATGGATGTGTAACTGATACGATTCTGCAATCTGTATACAGGGTAAAAATGGGAGTTCATAACCCACTTGAATCAAAGTGTGAAATATGATATGTCAAGAACTATGTAATGTTTTGAACAACCAACAATAAAAAATTTAAAAAATAATAAATTTATATAAATGGTAAAAAAAAAAAAGAAAAGAAAAAAAGAGAC